CAGAGCTATTTTTATAATGGAATGTTACAAATTAATTAAAATGTTTTAAGGGTATTTAATGACATAGGATAATAATGTACTATTAAGTGAGACTGCACTGAATGCTTCTCCCAGTGGTATCACAATGTTAAGTTAAATGATATAATTCAAACAATTCTCTCCCCTGCTCCCAGAATGCCCTTTTCTGCCCGAAGTCGTCTTTCCAGGTCTCCCCAGTGAGATACTTCTCTGCCACTCTAATCCACTACCCTGCCCTTTGGTTGCCTCCCCAATACAAATACAAACAATTCTCTGCTTATCTATCCTTAGGACAGATAAAACACGTTTATAGTTTTTAACCTTCTTAAAGGACTTCCCCCTGCCCCACTCAAATTCCAGCACCTTCATCTCTGCTGCTCCAACCAGCTCTCTTTGGATATGCTTTTTTCCAACCCCTACCTCTATCCCCCACAGCGTTCCTTCTTTTGTGCAAATGATAAGAACTCAAATACTTCTGGAATGATCTAAAAATATAAATCCAATTCTGAAAAAGAAAATCAAATTACTAAATCCAACTTAAGCTGGATTACAGGAGGTTTTCAACTTCTCACTACCCTATTTCATCCATATTTCAAATGCATATCACATATAGTTTCACAGTAAAGAGAGAACAGATAAAACCATATGTCCTCTTTCATTTTAACTGGCTGCTAGGTCTAGATTAGAAGTATATCTGCTTGACCTGGAATAATAACTACAATGCAGTGCAGGATTTCCATATATTTTGAAAAACATTTAAGAACTATGGTTGCCAGGTATCTTGGCACATGCTTGTAATCCCAGCTACTCAGCATCCTGGCTGAGGCAGTTGAATCACAAATTTGATGTYAGCCTGAGCAATTTGGTGAAATCCTGTCTCAATTTTTGTTTAAAAAAGGAGGGAAATGGGCTCAGAATGTGGCTCAGTGGTAGAGTATCCACCCACCCCCCGCCCAGTTCAATCCCCAGTACAGGAGGAAGGAGGAAAAAAAAAACTAGTAGGTTTGGCCTCAACCAATAGTCATTCAAGAAGCAGTTCTTTTTCCTGAAACTAAAGATTAACACAACACAAAACATCTCAAAATCAATCAGCCATTTTATCTGTCACCTCAATTTACAGACTGATTCATAATACAAAAGTGTCCAGGAGGCTTGCAAGAGGATTTACAAAGTTCGTTGTATTCTTCTCTTCACTAATGTCCAGCCTGATGCATAGCATGTTTGGCTACAAACAACTCTGCTGACTCTCCCTGCAACATCTTCATGGCTCGCCAATAGATCTGCCCACAATTCTCAGGTCTACCAAGTGGGTGATTCAATTCTTCTTTGATGTAGTCCATCCAAAGATCTTTAAAAGGAATGAAAAAAATTACTGTAAACATAGTTAGACAACTAATAAGGCTTTTTAGGCAATTATTTAATAYTGATTCAAAATTTCTAAGAAACTTAACTCCTGTTATTTCCCTAGMGCCCTATATGAAGCAATACTTCTCATGGCTTTTTTACATGAAGGTATAGGAAAAGGGTTTTCTGGTTAATAGAAAACCTTCCCATTAATCATGACAGCCTATGTTATTTAATCAACTAAAAATACTAAGATTTTTTAAAAGGGAAGATTTTTTTGAAGTCTCTTTCAAGGCAAGAGTAACCTCAATCAATTCACAAATAACCTTGTTACTGTGCTTAATAAAATTTGTTTGTGTTAGCAAAAAATGCTGCTTTCATCCATTTCACCACATATAGTCTATTGAAAACCAGCAGGRATTGTTGGTGAGATTGTAAATTAGTACAACCACTATGGATTTGAAGGTTCCTCAAATCACCATATGACCCAGCTACACCACTACCCGGTATTTATCCTAAAGAATTAAAGTCGGCATACTACAGCAATACCTGCATAACCATGTTTATAGCAGCACAATCCACAAGAGCCAAACTATGAAACCAACTAGCCTAAGAGTCCATCAATAGACAAATGAATAAAGAAAATACACACACACACAATGGRGTTTTACTCAGCCATAAAGAAAAATTAAATTATGTCATTTGCTGGAAAATGGATGGAACTAGAAACCATRAATTTATGCAAAATAAGTCAAACTTAAGGTCAAGGGTCATGTTTTCCCTCATATGGGGAAGCTGGAGAGGAAAAAGAAAAAGAAAAGTAGGTGGAATCTCATGAAAATTGAAGTGAGATCAGTAGAAGAAAGGAAAGGGACTTGGGAAGGGAAGAAAAGAGAAAGAGGAAATACTGGGGTATGATATTGGCCAAATTATACTGTCATATCATGTGCATATATGAATATGTAACAACAAATCGCACCATTATGTACAACTATAATGCACCAATAAAAAAT